TGCTAGTTTTTTATGTTCATATAAACGGGTGCTAGCTTTTGTGTGTGTATATATATATTTTTTTTTCTTTTTCTTTTTTTTTCTTTTCTGTTCTTTTTTCGTTATATAATTTTACAAACGAACAATAGCGGACCTGCTCTATTAGGAAAGACGCGAAATACCTCGGTCCTTGTACGGTGTCTTTCAGCCCAAACGACCCGTCCGGCTCTCTCGCAAAACAGGAAAAACTCTGGCTGTGTGACCTCAAGAAGAACCTCAAGAAGTGACCTCAAGAAGCGCCCGTTCCGTGTCGTCTGCCAGTAGCGCACCCGCCGCCGCTCGGGATGGACGTCACGCCTCTGCGCCGCTAACGAGAGCTTTATGACATCATTAGCACAAATGCGTAATAAAACTGTACAAGCACGGGGATCCGAGGCACATCAACACCCACGGGAGGTCGAGGGAGGGAGGGGGAGGGAGGGAGGGAGGCAGGGGAGGAATGCGCAGGTTGTTGGCGGACGAGTGAGTGCGAGGGGGGGGGGGGAGGGAGAGAGGGGGAAGGAGGGGGAGGGGAAGGAAGGGAGGGGGAGGGGGAGGGAGAGGAGGAAGGGGAGGAAGGGGAGGGAGAGAGGGGGAAGGAAGGGGAAAGAGAGAGAGGGGGGAGGGGAGAGAGGGGGAAGGAAGGGGAAAGAGGGGGGAGGAGGGGGGAGGGAGAGAGAGAGGGAAGGAAGGGGAAGAAGGGGGAGGAGGGAGAGGGAGGTGGAGGGTCGATGTGGATTTTTTTTCTGATGGTGGGTGTTCTACTTGTGTTGTGTTTTTAAAGCCCGACCTCTCTCTCTCTCTTTGTATATATCTATCTCTCTATCCCTTTCTCTTCTCTTCTCTCTCTCTCTCTCTCTCTCTCTCTCTCTTCTCTCTCTCTCTCTCTCTCTCTCTCTCTCTCTCTCTCTCTCTCTCTCTCTCTCTCTCTCTCTCTCTCTCCTCTCTCTCTCTCTCTCTCTCTCTCTCCCTCTCCTCTCCTTCTCCTTCTCCTTTCCCTCTCCTTCCCCCCCCCCCCCCCCCCAAAAAAAAGCAACAATATTCGCCCCTCTCCAACCCCCCCACCCCTCCAACACCTCCCTTTTACCAACCATGCCTAACCCCCCCCCCTCCCCCCCACCCCACCCCACCCCCACGCATGCAGCATATTCCTGAGCTACGAATCCAAGAGCCACATCATTTATCATTATCAACACGACAATTATCCTCGCGACACGCTCGGCCTCGTTCGTAGCAGCATCTCAAGATCATCAAGAGCGCTCCTTGCAAGGGAACTCGCGCCGGTGGACTTACTTGCGCGGCGGCGGGGAACGATGGGCTTCCGACGCTGCGCTTGGCTTGATGTGTCCGAGTGGGTGTTTTTTCCCTAGGAGGGGGAGGGGAGGGAGGGAGTGGAGTAGGAGGAAAGAAGGGGTGGGAGAGGGAGTGGAGAGGGAGAGGGAGGGAGGGGGAAGGGAGAGGGAGAAGGGAAAGAGGGGTGGGAGAGGGAGAGGGGAGGGAAGGAGGGGGAGGGAGGGAGGAAGGAAGGAGGGGAGGGAGGAAGGGGGGAGGAAGAGGGGAAAGAGGGGAGGGAGGAGAGTAGGAGAGGGAGGGATGGAGGAGGAAGAAGAGGAGGAAAGAAGGGAAGAAGAGGGAGAGGGGAGGAGAAGGGAGTGAGAGGATGAACGGGGGGAGATAGAGAGTGAGGGAGGGGGAGGAATAGGATTTTTTTTTATTCGAAATTTAAACAGCATTTTGTGGTGCAAATAATTTTTTAGCAGCGTTGGTTGTTAACACTTTGATTATACTTTTCATGTCATATCTGGAAATATGCGTCAGTCACAAAGCTGAAGGATGAATAGCATACCTCAGGGCATTTCTAGTATAATGTGAGAATATGACAGCTGAGAAGTACAAATTTGAGTACAATGATTATGAGATACAATTTTCTGTCTGGTTCAAAGGAGAGTCGAAGATGCGACATGTTGATAGAGTCTAAAGAAAACATTACCGTATATATTTCCTTTTTTTTTTGAGTATGATTTCTTCCCATTGAGAAAAAAAGTAGGCTCGTATTTACGATTGTGTTATTCACACCACAGTGAAGAACATCAGCTGATATTAACATGTCTGAAATCCGGCGCAGGTGAATAAAACTTAAAAAAAAAAACCTTGTTTGACATGACAGTATATGTATTTCTTTTTTCTTTTTCAAGAGGAATCCCAAAAACTGCGAAGCTCCTCTCTTCTCTCTCTCAAACACACACACACACACACACACACACACTCTCTCTCTCTCTCTCTCTCTCTCTCTCTCTCTCTCTCTCTCTCTCTCTCTCTCTCTCTCTCTCTCTCCTCTCTCTCTCTCTCTCTCTCTTTCTCTCCCCCACACTCTCATTCTTTCTCTCTCTCACAAACACACACAGACACACACACACACACACACACACTCTCTCTCTCTCTCTCTCTCTCTCTCTCTCTCTCTCTCTCTCTCTCTCTCTCTCTCTCTCTCTCTCTCTCTCTCTCTCTCTCTCTCTCTCTCTCTCTATCTCCCCCACACTCTCACTCTTTCTCTCTCTCACAAACACACACACACACACACTCTCTCTCTCTCTTCCACACACTCTCTCTCTCTCTCTCACAAACACACACACACTCAGACACACACACACACACACACACACACACACACACACACACACACACACACACACACACACACACACACACACACACACACACACACACACACACACACACTCACTCTCTCTCTCTGTATGTGCAACGATTTTCCTTGGTATGACAGAGTGATCCTGAAGGAGCGGGAGAACAAGTGATCAGCTGTAAGTGTTTATTCTAAGGCCGCTTTCATGCCAAGATGGAACGTCGCACACCATTTGAAAACGAACATCCGGAGATACATGAAACCTTTCACCCAAAAGTGGCGTGGCACGTCGCATGTGCCACGTGTGTCGCGCATGCCACTTCTCTGTGAAAGGTTTCATATATTTCCGGATGGTTGTTTTCAAATGGCGTGCGACGTGCGACGTGTCCCCTTGGTGAGAAAGCGGTCTGATGCACGCAGGTTCGTCTCGCTAACTGGAGGTTGAATGTCTAGGTGTAATCAGCCTTGGCTTTGCAGGTGAAAGGGGTTATAGGGTAGTAGCGTGTATCAACTGTGTAATGAACTAAGAATGTGTGTGTGTTTATGTATGTGTTCTATGAATGTGTGCGTGTGTGTGTATGTGAGTGTGTGTGCGTGTGTTGTGTGTGTGTGTGTGTGTGTGTGTGTGTGTGTGTGTGTGTGTGTGTGTGTGTGTGTGTGTGTGGTGTGTGTGTGTGTGGAGGGAGCGAGAGAGAGGTGGAGGGGGAGAGACGAGCGATGTATCTTTACATTTTTATACTAAAATGATATGTGCTAAGCCAGACTAATATTATATTAATCCTTATTGAAACTAACTTTTTCATTTTATGTATTTATTTATTTGTTTGTTTACAGCTAATTACATTATTCTAAAGGTTTTTATTCATGAAATCATTATTTGCATGTTATAAAGAACTTTGCTTTGATATCACATGTTAATACTACCGTCAGATATTTTCATAATCATATTACGTTTTTTTTCAAACATATACCGAAGGACGAAACGATGTACATATATTGATATTAATTCAATCTAGATATCCCAGCTTATATATTTTTGCACAACAGTTCAATATCAGTTCACATGAGCTTTTCGTCCGTCATAGGCAGTCACTTTGTAAAAAATAAAAACACATTTCACGAGGAATCTGAGCTGTTTTAAGGCATTCCTGTCTAGAAAGGAGTGTGGTTCTTTCAGACAGCTGTGATGACGATTCCCTCTGTCCAAGGCTAAAGAGAGCGTCAACGTGTTCCTCGAATTAATTAGCATATTGTCCTCAAAGAGAAGGGGTTCGAGGGTGACGTGTTATCCCATTTTTTTTCGATTTACTGCAATCTGAGGTGAGAAATCTTTGGGGAAATGGGATGGATTTGAAGTGACGGTTGGTTGTCGTGTGTTGTTTTACTCGAAGGTTGTTTTGATTCTTGGAAATAGGCGATTCATGAATGGGTGTTCGCGTGCTGTCAAATGGGGGTGCTTAAAGGAGAGGTACTGGGACCATTTTTATCCCATTCTTTCTATTCTTTGTTTTAACCATTGTGATTTCGCTATATATTGCTACGTTATTTACTTGGAATAAACAAAACAAAACAGAGGAAAGATAAAAAAATAATAATTTGCAGATGTATTTGCACAGTAGTATTCATTTTGTAAGTTATATAAATTTATAGGTTTTATGCTTCTGTGAGCTTACTTCTGAATGCATTTTCTCTTTTACAGGTCAGTGGCTACTCTCTCGAGGCTGCGGCGAGAAAATATATTATGCTGGACGAAGCATCGAGGCTATAAAGGTAATGAAGTCCACACACACACACACACACACACACACACACACACACACACACACACACACACACACACACACACACACACACACACACACACACACACACACACCACACAACGCACACACACACACAAGACGCACACACACACAAAATAAAAATATATGTATATAAAAAAATGCTTCGTCCCTTCTCCCCACCTCCAACCCCCCTCCCCACCTCCACCCCCCCTCCCACCTCCAACCCCCCCTCCTTACCTCCAACCCCCCCCCCTCCCACCTCCACCCCCCTCCCCACACGCATCGCCCTCATAAAGCCCAAGGTAATGCTCACGTCCCACTTGGTTCCTTGAAGACGTCGCACACTCTAATGATAGCTTGCCCTCGCTCCGAGCATCATTGGCACCACCATCTTTTAGAGCGAATTACGTGCATTATGATTACATGCGTCGGGTGGCGGTAAATCAGTATTGATGTATCGCCGACGTAGACCCGAGTTATAGGTCCTCCCGGCAGATGGCGCGCGGAGACCCAAGCTGCTCCTAAATCTCGGATTCGATCTTGAGATTCTAGAGTCAGTCGTGTGTCATTTCTTCGGCGGTGGGGCTATGCGGTCTTCGGGGGTGTGTTGGAGGGAGGTGGTATCGTGGTATCTGGGCCGTTGCCGAGTGCTGGTATTGTGGTTTGGGGGGGTACTGTGGAGTGTTGGTTTTGAGGCTTGGGGGTTGATGTAGAGGGCGTTGGTATTGAGGTATTTGGAGGCTACTGGAGGGAGGTGGTATCGTGGTATCTGGGCCGTTGCCGAGTGCTGGTATTGTGGTTTGGGGGGTTACTGTGGAGTGTTGGTTTTGAGGCTTGGGGTTGATGTAGAGGGCGTTGGTATTGAGGTATTTGGGAGGCTACTGGAGGGAGGTGGTATCGTGGTATCTGGGCCGTTGCCGAGTGCTGGTATTGTAGTTTTTTGGGGGGCTACTGTGGAGTGTTGGTTTTGAGGCTTGGGGGTTGATGTAGGCGTTGGTATTGAGGTATTTGGAGGCTACTGGAGGGAGGTGGTATCGCGGTATCTGGGCCGTTGCCGAGTGCTGGTATTGTGGTTTGTGGGGGCTACTGTGGTGTTGGTTTGATGCTTGGGGGGTTGATGTAGGCGTTGGTATTGAGGTATTTGGAGGCTACTGGAGGGAGGTGGTATCGTGGTATCTGGGCCGTTGCCGAGTGCTGGTATTGTGGTTTGGGGGGCTACTGTGGTGTTGGTTTTGAGGCTTGGGGGTTGATGTAGAGGGCGTTGGTATTGAGGTATTTGGAGGCTACTGGAGGGAGGTGGTATCGCGGTATCTGGGCCAACGTGGGGTGTTGGTATTGCGGTTTTGGGGGCTACTGTGTTTACGCTGGTATTGCGCTATTTATGCTAATGTGGGGCGCAGGTATTGTAACACGTGAATTATTTAGGGACATTGGTATTACAGTACTTGGCTGATATGGGACAAAAGTATTGCGAAATTTCGTTTACTGCGGGACATGAGCACTATGATGAATGAGCTTCTGTGGGACGAGTTTATCCCTGTTGTGATTCATATATGATTGATGGTGCAAGTATAATGTATTTTGGGGATTATGTTACTGTTAACGAAAGACGGGTATGAAATATACGAAATTTAGGTTCCCGAAATTGAGATCCAAACGAAGGCTATTGAGATCGTATCAAAGGGACGGATGATATGATATAATAAGATCCAACCACCACCCCCCATCCCCACCCCCACCCCCGAGCACTCCTCCCCATGATATCGTATAAAATAATTGTGGTTCTCTCGGACTCGCCAAGAAATCACAAGGCTTTCCTCCCAAGGCGCTGAGGCCGTGGGCTGATTCGCTTCACACGCCGTTGCTGCTGCTGACCTGCCCTGGTCGTGTGGCTAGGCTGCTCCTTCGCTACTTACCCTCGTGTGTGCTGAGCTGGCGCAGTGGTGAGCGCGTTCGTCTAGCCATTTTGCGGACCTGCGTTCAATCCCACGCCCGGCCAGTGAGTGGTAACCCCGGCCATTCCTTGTACACAGGGGGAGATTTGGCAAAATATGTCACAGCAAGTATATGAAGTATGTTACAGCAAAGAATATCCATTGTAACAAATGGAATCATAACTAAATCTTAAACTATTTTTTATCCTCCCTCCACCTATACTTCTTATCCTTACTCCACCCATACTTCTTACTCCCCACTCCATTTCTTCCCCTATCCCCTATCCCACATTCCACCCATACTCCGTGCTCCAACTTCAACTATACCCCTTACCTCACACTCCATCCATACCCCTTATCCCCCGCTCCATCCGTAATCCTTACCCCCACTCCATTCCTTCCCCTATTCCCTATACCTTACCCCTCATTCCACTCATATCCCTTGCTCCCTCACTCTACCCACACTCTTTCACCTACTCCACCTTACCACCAACCAGCCTCCCTACCCCCTTACCCCCACTACATTCCCACCCGAACCCCACTCAATTGTCACCCCTAACCCCCCACTTCACCCAACCCTAACCCCCCACTCAGTTGCCACACCTAACCCCCACTCCACCCCAACCCTAACCCCCCACTCTACCTCCACCCAAACTCTCACCCCACTCAGCCCCCATTCCACCCCCACCCAGCCCCCCCTCGTCTCCCATAACTGCACGCCCACTGGAAGCACCTTGAGGCCTTCCCCGAGGTCCTGCTTGACTAACTCCTTAAGATGATAAGACCAAATCGGATATTAGGCGCTAATCGTGTCTGGAGGCTCTGGAGAGGGAGGGGAAGGAGGAGGAGGAAGGAAAAGAAAAGGAAGAGGAGAAGGAAGAAGAAGGAAAAGAAAAGAGAGGAGCAGGAAAAAGAAAGAGAGAAAGATAATAAGAAAAATAATAAGATAAAAAACTGATAGGAAGGAAGCAAAAGCCGAGAGAAAATAAAGCGAAGAGACAGAAATGAGGAGATAATGAGAGGTAGGGGGGAAGTTGGGGAGGGAGGGGTATGTGTGTCAACAAAGTGTGGAGGGGAGGGTTGGGGGTAGGGATAGGGGGAGGGAAGGAGGGAGTTGGAAAGGGAAAGGAAGAAGGGAGTGGGGAGGGGAAATGGGAAAGGGGGAGGGTGAAGGGAAGAGGGAGAGGGGGAGGGTGAAGGGAAGGAGAGGAGGGAGGGTAAAGGGAAGAAGGAGAGGGAGAGAAAGGAGGAGGGAGGTAAGGAAGAAGGGGGGGTTGGGGGGCGGAAGAAGAGAGGGAGGGGTAGGGGAAGGGAAGAAACGGAGGGGTAAGGGAGGGGAAGGGAAGGAAAAGGAAGGCCTGGGGAGGGTGAAAGTAAGAAGAACAGGGGGGGGGGGTGAAAAGAAGAAGAGCAGGGTTAAGGGAGGGGGAAGAGGAGAAGGGAAGGGTTTGGGGGAAAGGGAAGAAGAGGTGGGGAAGTGGTGGGGAAGGGGAGGGAGGGGAGGGAGGGGAAGCCCCATGGCCTCCAGGAGTCGTTGTGGTTTACTCACACCCATTTAACGTCGCATTTGGTCATCAGCGACGACCCGGAACGACTGGTGGCGGCGACGGCGGCACCCTCTGCGGACGGGGAAGGGGGGGGAGGATGGGAGGGAGGGAGGGGGGGTCCTCGTGCGCTTCGAGTTCGTCATGATTTTATTTATTTATTTATTTATTTTTTGTGGGTTTTGTTTTCTTTTTTATCACTTCTTTTCTTTTATCACTCTTTGTCGCTTATGTTTTCATCTTTTCTCTTGTTTTCATATTCTTTCGAGTTCTCTTCACGTGTTAGATCGGGTGTTTATCACGCTACTCTTCCTTCACCTGTTTTTTATAATTTTCTTCTCATTTTCGTCGTAAATCTTATTTTTTTTTCGATGCTTTTGATTGCTTTTCGTCTGATTTATCGCTAGTTATCACACGTTTGTCGTTCATACGGTTTCTGCGTCGATTATTAATCTTGGTTAAGCGCTGAAGACTTCCCACAAAAAGTGGAAGAGGAGGAGAGGGAGAGAAAGGAAAAAAAGGGAGAGAGAGAGAGAAGAAAAAAGAAGGAGAGAGAGAGAGAGAAAAGGAGGGAGGAGAGAGAGAGAAAAATGGGGGAGGATATATATATATATATATATATATATATATATATATATATAGAGAGAGAGAGAGAGAGAGAGAGAGAGAGAGAGAGAGAGAGAGAGAGAGAGGAGAGGGAGAGGAGAGAGGAGAGGGAGAGGGAGAGGAGAGGAGAGAGGAGAGAAGGAGAGAAGGAGAGAGGAGGGAGGGAGAAAAGAGTGAGAGAGAGAGAAGAAGAGAAGAAGAAGAGAGTGAGAGAGAGAGAGAAAGAAGAGATAAATCCTGGAAGATCTATCATTTCTTTGTCGTTAATGGAAGGCGACAGTAGAACAAGGAAGGTTACCGCTGCCTTAGATTTCTGTCTGGCGACCGGGCAGTAATTGGCGTTCGCAACACGTGTGTTTGTGACCCGAGCCATTGTTAAATTAACCCGGGTAGGGGAAGGGGTATGGGGTGCGGGGTAGGGGAAGGTTAGGGGTTGGGGGTTGGGGGGTTGGGGGCAAGGGCATGGAGGAGTGGGGGGGGGGAGGAGTCGTTTCAGATGCCAAGGGATTGATGCATTGCTTTGTGGAAGATGGATGTGTGGAATGTGCGTACACAGGTGCATGAGTGCATGCGGTCTCTCTCTTTCTGCGCGCGCGCGCGTGTGTGTGTGTGTGCGTGCGTGTGTGTGTGTCACACACACACACATATTTGTATTATATCTATTTATGATTATATTGCACGCACTTCTTTATACACACACACACACACGTATTCATACACTCGCAATGCAAAATAAAACATGACCTTCAAAATAACCAGATGGAGGACTACAACTACTAGAACTAGAACCTAGAACCTGGCTACTAGGAACCTGGAATAGGAATACTAGAACCTAGAACCTGAACCTGGCTACTAGAACCTAAAACCTGGCTACTAGAACCTAGAACCTGCTACCAGAACCGAGAACTACTACAGAACCTAGAACCAGGCTACCAGAACTAGAACCAGAACCTATGGCTACCAGAACCTAGAACCTGCTACCAGAACCTAGAACCAGGCTACCAGAACCTAGAACCTGGCTACTAGACTACCAGAACCTAGAACCAGGCTACTAGAACCGAGAAACCAGGCTACCAGAACCTAGAACCAGGCTACTAGTCCGCTACTAGCACCGGGCAAATACCTCCTCGCCCACCGGCCTCAGGACCCAAGACTCCTCCCGTTAGGTCTGTCCCAAGCAATTAAGATGCTCGCAATGCCCGCGGCTGCTTGATGGCATCACGTCACACGCGGAATGGGGCGCTGCGATTGGCCTCCTATTTGGTGCGTCCTAAGGGGATCTTCGGCTCTGAGGGACCCTTTTTCTCGCGCCTTTGAGGGGGGGACTTCGTTGCCGTGGACTCGGATTTTTTGGTCTCTGGGCTGTCTGGAGGAGTGGGTTGGGGACTTCGCTGCCGTGGACTCGGGTTATTTTTTTTCTCTCGCTCTTTTCTCTTTCTGTCTGGCTGTCTCTCTGGCTCTCTCTCTCTCTCTCTCTCGCTCTCTCTCTCTCTCTCTCTCTCTCTCTCTCTCTCTCTCTCTCTCTCTCTCTTCTCCTCTCTCTCTCTCTCTCTCTCTCTCTCTCTCTCTCTCTCTCTCTCTCTCTCTCTGTCTCTCTCTCTCTTCTCTCTCTCTCTCTCTCTCTCTCTCTCTCTCTATCTCTCTCTCTATCTCTCTCTCTCTCTCTCTCTCTCTCTCTTCTCTCTCTCTCTCTCTCTCTCTTCTCTCTCTCTCTCTCTCTCTCTCTCTTCTCTCTAATTTTCCCCTCTTCCTCTTCCATTCTCTCTTATCTATTTCTCTATGCTCTCTATCTTCCTCTCTTCTCTCTCTCTCTCTCTCTCTCTCTCTCTCTCTCTCTCTCTCTCTCTCTCTCTCTTCTCTCTCTATTCGCTCTTCCTTCCCCCATCCCATTTCAACAAATCTGTATTTTCCTTTCTCTCCTTCCTTGCACCTTACTTCTTTTCGTAGGCTCCACCTTCACACCTTCTTTATTCTCCACGTCATTCCTCCCTCTCTAGTCTACTGCACGCTCATTATACAATTTTCCCTTAACTGCAAACTCACTCTTTCGATTTCTCTCTTTGTAAGACATTTGTCCCAGAGGGTAAATGTTTCGTACCGACAGTATGTTCATTATTTCTGTTGTAGCTTTTGCATTACTGTTAATAGTCTTGTTTTTTATTGTTATCATTTTAATTGTCAATGTTGTTATTATTATTATTATTATTATTATTATTATTATTATTATTATTATTATTATTATTATTATTATTATTATTTATTACTCTTATTTCTTATTATTATTTTTTATTATTATTGTTAATGATATTATGTTATCGTTGTTTTTATTTTAACTAAATATTCCCCTTCCCCCCCCCAAAAAAAAAAAATATATATAATATATATATATATATATATATATATATTATATATTATATATATATATATATATATATATATATATATATATGTAT